AATAAACTATTAATAACCAAGAACCAGGCGATGACAGATCATCAGAAAAGATCACCTGAGGCAGCCACACATGATCATATCAGGATGGGACACTTAGAATTAGAACTGGGTCAAAGATGACAACTCTTTTACAATATGTAATTATAGCCCCTTTGCCTGGCAAACTGGATCCAAATGCCTGTATTAAGAGTAACTGAGGGTATAGAGGACGCATTACCATAAATGTAGGTATGGACACTAGGACTATTTTAATAACATTCAAGTCTTTGTAAATAACTATGTAGGTCTTCTACATATATGTGTACAGTGCAAATACTTTAATCATAAGCATCTCTCTAGAATATTTGGATCAAGTTTCTTTTTTGTAATCTCCTTTGCCATTAATCCATCTTAAATTTTAAAAAAATGTTCAAATGTGTTTAGATTTTCTCTAGGATAAGTGTATCTGGCTGAACTTCCATCAGGGTCAACAGGTAACATTATTGCATCAACCATAGTCCAGAACTGTGCAGGCCTCAGCTGTAAAAGTCTATGCACTTGGGCACTTGGTCTTGTCAGTGAATGCATCAGTCCTAATCAAATCATGGAATATGGAATCGTGTAGGTAACAATAGCAAACAAACAAAAACAAAAGCAAAACAAACAAACAAACAAAAAAACCAAGAGACTGGTTATATATAACCAACATACCCATATTGACTTACAATAAAAAGTGGTTTCCAAGGAGACCAAGTTCTAGTGTCCTTCAGCAGCTCATTTTATTTATGTCAACAAGCTGTGTGTTAGCCAGATTATAAAAAGAGAGTTGCTTGGTGGAAGTAGGCTCAGAACAAGGTAATTCTGTTATTTGTTTAATATCATTAGGTTTTATAAAGACAGTGCTGTATAGTGTTGAGTGCTGGCCCATGTTTACAAAAGAAATATATTGGATGGTAAAAAGACTTGGGCTTTGCATCCAGCCAGTCTGCCTGGATGCAAAGCCCAAGTCTCCACTTAATATGTGTGTAATCTTGCACAAGATGTCTGGGTGTTTCAGTTGCCAGGGTTGCATAATACATACCCCCAAACTTTATGGCTCATGATTTATGTGCCAGAAGTTTGAACAGGATACAGTGGAGCCTGCTTGTCTCTTGTCTCACGCTTTCTGAACCATGAGCTGGATGACTTAGAAGCTAGGGATTGGAATCATCTTCAAATGACTCATTTTTTCATGGATGATGCTGACTGTTCTCTGACACCTGAGCTAGGGCTGTTTACTGGACCACCTACACTTAACTTCTCCTTGTGGCCTGGATTCCTTACAATATGGTACCTGGTTCTAAGGATGAATGTCCCCAAAGAGAGGCCAGCCAGAAGCTGTGCGTTTGTTTGTTTGTTTGTTTGTTTGTTTGTTTGTTTGTTTTAAATAAACTGGCTTCTTTAAAACCAGCTTTTTTAATAAACTAGCCTGGAAAGTCACATAGTATCCTTTCCACCATACTCTTTTGGCTGGTGAAACCACAAGTCTGCCCAGGTACAAAGGAAAGAGAAATAGACTATGCTTCTTGATAGGAAGTAACAAGACTCTGGAACAACATGTGGAATGAGAGTATTTCTGTTGCCTTCTTTTGGAAAATACAATTTGCCTTACTTGACTTTTGTTGCCTTTGTTTCCCTATCTGTAAAATGAGGATAATAATGTAACAACTGAGATGATTGCTGTTGTCTCACTTCTTTCCATTGTGTGTGGAATTCATAAGCCCACATTCAAGTTCAGCCCTATTTCTAAGTTCTTGTCTCTATGTCACAGGGTGAAACATAAATAGATGAGCTACTGTTTTGTCCAAAAGAACCCAGTTCTCTAATTATAATTCCCTATTCTTTATTTGCCCAGTGTGAGAGGGAAAGAGAAGGGAATTCCCTATTCTTTATTTGCCCAGTGTGAGAGGGAAAGAGAGCGAGAAAAACTGAAGATGGAGGGAAAGTCCAAGATGAAATCCATTTAAATCTTATTTAAAAAATAAGAAGGGTCAAATAAAGAAGAAAATGGAGAACCTACCATTTGTATATCTTGGGGTCTCAATCTGCCTTCAATTTTGAACATTTTTGGTGACAGAAGGAGAAGCCAGTTCTTTCTTTAGGTATGGTTTCTCAATACTTTGGTGTATCATGGGCTAATTAGGTAACCCCAGAAAAATGCTATGTATAATTTCAAGGGGTTCACATACCTTGTGAAAGTCAACGATGCACCCAGAGAAAAAACTCTTGCTAAGGCTGGACAGTGTGGTATATCTTTAGAATAATGTTCAGTGCAAAAACATATTGTGTGAGTGCTCTTTATATACTTCTTTCAAATCTACCTCTCAAGTAGTATAATATCAAGTAATATAAATTCTACATCCTAATTATATATTTGTGTGATTTTTAATATAAATCTTTCCCACAAGACCATCAATTTTGGAGATTCACCATTATATCCTAGAGCTTGGGATATAGTAGTTATTAAATTCAAAGTTTTGAATAAGTAATTAATGAAAATGAATGAATGAATGAATGAAATAACACTGTAAACTCAGAGCACAATTATTTTAACCCTCAGAGATCGCAATCAGATTTTTCTTTGATGGTTTTAGGAACAAAATTTTTTTCAAGCTCACATTTAGCCAAGACCTTAAGTAGAAAGATTCTACTGGTAAGATTCAGCTGGATTTGAATTTAAAAGCGTGAAAAGTCATCTTATTTCTCTTGTTAGTTTCTTCTTTCTTCTCACCCTTTTATTATATTTCTGACCCCAACTTTTGTGCCCTTGTTAAATATCTTCTACTGTTAATCTTTCATAAGCTCTTCACTCCAGTAGTGGTAACATTATTCCCATGGACATATTTCCACCAGTATCATTCCCTCTTTGTTTCATTCACATGTAATAATACTATTGGTTAAAATTAAACAAGTCAAAGTTGTAAGGTTGAACCACAGTTAAGCATAAAAAACATTTTCAAAGAGTGTCAGTAGAATACCATTATTTAATATTTTTATAAACCTATAACTTCATCGTGCACATCTGAAGGTCACTGACTTTCAGGAATAGGTAGTGAAGTGACAAATTCTTCTATAAATTCATTATTGAGAAATGATAATGTAAAATGTAAAAAATCATGACTGATGTAACAATGTTTTGAAGATTCATTGACATAACTGCACAGTTTGATTTCTTGGTATCTAATTATGGCATATAAAGCAGTAAGAACTGGTGTCATACAGAAATTGAAGGTATATGAATTTGGAAATAAAACTGCATTTTACACAGTGAGCAAACCATAAAGTACCAAATATATCCTCACTAAAGTTCCATTAAACAGGCTTGATGTAAATCCCACAACTTTTCTACCACTTCTCTCAAATGCAATGTTTATAGTAACCATCTAGGGCTTGAAAGAAATGTAATTGAGAAGTAGAATACCTCAAGTATCAGGGTTGTGCTTACGTTAAATCAAACAAACAAAAAAACTCAAAATGATTCCTCCTCCTACCTTCAGTAGAACATTTATCAAAGATCCAACTGAATTACTTGAGGCTTAGATTTTAATAAGTGTTAAGATATCAAAAAGAACTGTAACCATTTTTTTTCAGAATTATCCCCACCAGAGTAAAATACTCATATATATTTGGTCCTCCTACCAAAAGATAATTCTGTGTGATTTTAGATAAGTTTATTAGATAAAAGTTTCTAAAGTTTGAAACTACTATGCCAGAATTAGGACAAGGACATTTAAAATGGTTCTCAGTTCATCATTTTGGCTTTTTGAAAAACAGCTATGACATAATATTCATCATTAGGGATCAATATGGATACCAGGCTTTCATGAGAAATATGTTTATTGACCTTAATAAATCTTCAAGTGTGTAAATACAGAAATATTTGTACAGGCAATTTTCTGCTGAATTGCATTTCGTCTGCACAGTCTCGTATTGCAATATATTTTTAAACAACTTATACTAAAGGTTTGATGTGAGAGCAGTTTTTTCAAGGAAACATTTTTAATTGCTTCACAATGGTTATTTTTATATCTAGTTATTTAATCATCATTATCATCATTATGATTAATCCACATTTATGTGTTTTGTAAACTTTTTGCTACTATAAATAAAGTTTTAGTGAATAAAGCTTTTTGCTTAGAATAAATTTCTATAAAATGAACTACTAGATTAACAGGTTTGAAAATATTTAAGGCTGTTGATAAATTCTGTATTTTTTGAAGCACCAGAGAAAACTGTATGTGCTACAAACATTAAAAAGAATCAACAACTAGACTGAATTCACACATCTAATTAAAAATGATAGCCCTATTTGCCAATTGGTAGCCCCGAATTTGCCAATTGTTAATATTACAAAAGTTATATTCTAAGGGATTTGTATTAGATAATACATACATTTATTTAGTCATGAGGGGGTGTTATAAAGTTCTCAACTACTCACAGATTTAACCTTTAATATAGCTAAAGTATAGTAGAATCGAATAATGGCTCTCTCATGGTACTTCTAAATGTTGAGTTCCTTGTCTTTGTCTTTTACCCTTTAATCTTCTGTGTTTTCAGTGAGTGTCACCACTCTGAACCTCTTGGAAATAGGATTCTAAGCTTCCAAGTGTCTTCTACCTATTTGAGCGTTGGGGTTTGGGGAAAGGAGAAGGGGGTAGTAAACTGGAAGAAGGCTCCTAGGAAGCTGAGTGGAGCATCTCAGGACGGATTACTTCCCAAGGCATTGTGGAGGGAAGTCTGGGAAAGAGGGAGAACAAAAATCAGAGATACTCTGGTAAATCACTGTTCAAAAAAGAAAGAAAAGAAGTAAGTGAATCAAGAAAGAAAATTATTAAATCCAAGGAGGATATTGGTGTCAGAGGAAGCACCTTTTGACTTTATTTTTTTCTACAATATGTAATATAATATTTGTAGATAATTCAAATGATGTTGAAAAAATTCAAGAAAATTAAAATGACTTTAAATATATATTTATCTTCTAGAAAATACAAGATGATTCTCTAGAAGAAAATCTACGTTTAGCTCAAGAATATCAAAAATTACAGACTATTTTCTTAACAGAAAAGGACAATTATTTCAATCTATATGATAGACAGTTATCACTTGATGCTTCAATTCGAGATAAGAAACAGGTAGGTTTTCTTATTTTTTTTAAATAATGATTTACTTGACATATGTACTACAAAAAGTAACAAGTTGTCAGTCATGGGCTCTCCAATCTCATGGTGATCCTTTATATGCCACCAAATGGCATGTGTTCTTCTTGTAGAGTTTTGTTTTATGTTTTTATCAACTTTGAAACTCAATTTTGAATAGATATGTGAGAAATGAAGGAACTTCGTGTCTAATCCACCATTTTATCCTAATTTTCTTTATTATAACCTGGAATACCAAATTTTTAGAGTTTATAGATTTAGATATATTATCATAGACTTTGAATTTCATTTTTATCTATAGGTAGCTTTTCATGATATGCCTCAAAATCTTCTTCATGTTTTATGGGCTCCAAATGTTGGTTTCTATTTTCTTAACAAATATGAGTCTTAATTAGAAACTTGGTTGACCCTTTGTAGTTACTGGAAATCAGTAGAAATTCTCATATATATTATAAAATCTTCTGTAATAGTAAAAATAGAAAAGTAAAACACATAATATATCAGAAATGAAAAAGGAAAGCGAAAGCTCCATCACTAGTGTTAAGATATGGCCACTTCCTCTGTATTCTTCCCCAGATACTCATTGGCAAGAAAAATCATTTCCCTTTGAATTTTTGTTTCTCCCCAGAATCTAAATTTCAAAATATAGAGGCATGATTATTTTTTTTTAAAGGTTTTATTTATTTATTTGACAGAGAGAGACACAGCAAGAGAGGGAACACAAGCAGGGGGAGTGGGAGAGGGAGAAGCAGGCTTCCCGCTGAGCAGGGAGCCCGATGTGGGACTCGATCCCAGGACCCTGGGATCACGATCAGAGCCGAAGGCAGACGCGCTTATCGACTGAGCCACCCAGGCGCCCCGAGGCATGATTATTTTTTAACAATCTACCTAGTCCTAAGAACCAGTAGACTGCTAATTAACCTTTTTTCCTATTGTCACCCATACTACTCTACCATAAATTAGTTGTTTAAAATTCCAGTACTGGGCGCCTGGGTGGCTCAGTTGGTTAAGCGACTGCCTTCGGCTCAGGTCATGATCCTGGAGTCCCAGGATCGAGTCCCGCATCGGGCTCCCTGCTCGGCGGGGAGTCTGTTTCTCCCTCCGACCCTCCCCGCTCTCATGTGCTCTCTCTCTCTCTCTCAAATAAATAAATAAATAAATCTTTAATAAATTAATTAATTAATTAAATAAAATTCCAGTACTGTACTTATCCCTCCTTATTGTGGAATATTTGGAAGATAGAAGGCCAGGACGTGAGTGCAATCTCTACCACTTACTAGCTCAGTGATCTTGGCAAATTATTTATCCTTTCTGACCTTAGTTTTCTCATCTGTAAAATAAGATATACCTCAGAGGAAAACTGATAAGGAATAAAAAGGAGACATCCATAGTTATTTTGAAAACAAAAGGGTACTATGCAACTCTAACTATTACATTGATCTGGTATGCTGCTTATAAACTCCCTTATGTTTCCCATCCATCTACTCTCGTGTGAGTTAAAGTTTCTGAATACATTGAAAGAAAGAGTGTGTATTTTTCTTTTAAAATTAGAAGCAAGATGAAGGTAGATTAAGAAATAAATGTGTGTGGGAGAGAATTGATAATATAACTATATACCAAAATCTTAGTGTCCTCAAACCACGTGCAGGATTCAAAGAAAGGACATCAATGGAACATTTGTCCAATCACTTCATGCATTTGACATTGTTATTGAGGTTAAACATGTTCTATTTGTTCCTGATAATTGAGGAGGAGAAAATAATCAATGGCTATACTGTATTTCCTTTTCTAACCAGGAGGGAAACAAAAATAAATTTTATGTATACTTGTTATCAGTTTATATAGAATCCTTTGGTGGCAAATGATAAATAGACACCTGCATAAATAGTGAAGAACTTATGCCTTTAAGAGAGATCCATAACACCATATTCCCATAGTAAGAATAAAATTGTCTTGATGTTGGAATTAGAGCAAATCATGATTCAGGATTAAAGGAGTGAGACCCTGGTATGAACAGACAGTGAGGTATGCTAGGAAATTGAGTTTATATTTGTGATGATCCCTCAAACGAATCACTTTTAGCACACCTGTTTCAGGGAAACTTTCAAAGATTTATTTGTACTTCCAATCATTTTTCATTTCCATCCTTCAGCGATGGAGGTCATTAAGTGCAGGCTGCCCTTGTCAGTGTCATGTAGGATCAATTTGCTGCAATGGACAGAGAGGCCTTATTGATGCTGTTAAATCTGTCAGTGAGAAATCGTATGTCATTAGCGTCTAATGCACTGCTTACAGGATGGAATTTGGCCATCAAAATGGAAAAAAACCCTTTAATATTTTAGTCCATTTCTTTGATATTGCATCATTTCCCATATTATATATATGTATGTTTTAGTCCTTTGACCAGTTTAGTTTTGGGTACACAAAAGCACTGTTCAACCTCTGATTTCCTTGTTTAATTTCCTTGTCATATAAAGTGGATCTCACTTTAAGGAATTTTGTGTATTATTTTTCTGTTTCCTGTTTTATAATAACTTCATTGCTTCTGGGCATAGAGTCCTTTTGGCATGGTAAATAATTACATTTTGATTTTTGTGCTTCTTATGGAGTATTATTCTCTCTACACAGATTTCATCCTTTTTTGTATTTTTAGGCCAAGAGTAGCAAAAAAAAGCTTAATGGAGGAATAAAACAAGTTAACTATAAAAAATAATGTCCCTTTCCTTAACACAATTTTATATACAGATGGTTCAAATGTTAGAATGCTATAGTATTACTCTTGGTGATAAAATTATGTCTCCTTCCTTTGCACATGTTACTTGATACTTTCCTGTGCTTTAAATTTTTGAAGTGATGAATATTTTCCCCTTTAAAAATCAGAAACAAACAAAAATGACTGTACAAAATTCCTGTTTTCCCTGTTCATGGGTAATGATAGAATAGAATCCAATCTAAAACTTTTCAGATCTCAAAATTTAAAATAACAATAAAGGGGAATAAAAGAAAAATATCTGAAAAACAGGTTGTGCTTCTTTGTAAAAATACATTTTCATTATTTTCATTAAAATATTTAAAAAATGTTTTTCTTTTTTAAAAAAATATCCATGAGTATGTTGATAAAATCGTGTGTTTGTTTTAATTGCTGTCTCAAATTCTTCAAGTCTGCAAAGAAAGGTAAGCTAAGCAAGCATACAAATGTTGATGTGTTCTGTTGGCTGAAAACATGATCCCTTTCAAAACTGGTTAAAATGTATTTTTAATTCTTTTGTAACCCACTTGTGAAGCTTAACCTTTGCCTATTCCAGTTCTCAGTACTTTCAAACTAAGGGAATACAAATTATTACAGAATCAGTCAGCACTTAACAAGCACTTATATGGGCCTGGTATCTGTGCCAAGCAGTTTGCAAATATTATCTTTGTAATGTCCATTAGTAATCCTCTAAAATTTTTTATTATTATTATAATCATCTCCAGTTTAAGATATGGAACTGAGATTGTGTCACAAGGTAATCCAAGTAGAGGGAACTGACTAAGATAGGAATCAAACACAGGATTTTTAAAAACCCAACCCATTTCATAACCATGACACTACGCCTCTACTATAACATTATTAAACAATCCTATACTGTCTCATCAGTCTTTATAAAGCATGTAAAAACCAAATCAGTCATGCATTATGTCGCTAGTGTCCAACTGAAACAGATTATTTGATTCACTAATTGTTTTTATAATTTTATCTCATTGAAACTGCTTTTTCAATAATGATTTTCTTGTGGGGAAAGGTCTACCACCTATTTAATTAGAAATTATTTAATTTTCATAGGGATTATAGATAAGTTTTGCAATTCTAAAATTGTAAAATTTTTGAACTGGAAATGCCTTTAGAAATTTTACCCATCTCCTTAAAAATAGAAGATTATTTCACCCAAAACCATAAGATACCTCGGAATAAAGCTAACCAAAGAGGTAAAGGATCTATACTCTAGGAGCTACAGAACACTCATGAAAGAAATTGAAGAAGACACAAAAAGATGGAAAAACATTCCATGCTCATGGATCGGAAGAATAAACATTGTTAAAATGTCTAAATGCTGCCCAGAGCAACTATACCTTCAATGCCATCCTGATCAAAATTCCAATGACATTTTTCAAAGTGCTGGAACAAACAATCCTAAAATTTGTATGGAATCAGAAAAGACCCTGAATCGCCAAGGAAATGTTGAAAAAGAAACACAAAGCTGGGGACATCACGTTGCCCGATTTCAAGCTATATTACAAAGCCGTGATCACCAAGACAGCATGGTACTAACACAAAAACAGACATATAGACCAATGGAACAGAATAGAGAGCCCAGATAATGGACCCTCAACTCTATGGTCAAATAATCTTCAACAAAGCAGGAAATAATATGCAATGGAAAAAAGACAGTCTCTTCAATAAATGGTGCTGGGGAAATTGGACAGCTATATACAGAAGAATGAAACTCGACCATTCTCTAACACCATACACAAAGATAAACTCATAATGGATGAAAGACCTCAATGTGAGACAGGAATCCAGCAAAATCCTAGAGGAGAACATAGGCAGTAACCTCTTCGACATCGGCTACAGCAACTTCTTTCAAGATACATCTCCAAAGGCAAGTGAAACAAAAGGGAAAATGAACTTTCGGGACTTCATCAAGATAAAAACTTCTGCACAGCAAAGGAAACAGTCAACAAAACAAAGAGGCAACCCACAGAATGGTAGAAGATATTTTCAAATGACACTACAGACAAAGGGCTGATTTCCAAGATCTATAAAGAACATCTCAAACTCAACACCCAAAAAACAATCAAGTCAAAAAATGGGCAGAAGACATGAAGACACTTCTCCAAAGAAGATATACAAATGGCTAACAGACACATGAAAAATGTTCATCATCATTAGCCATCAGGGAAATTCAAATCAAAACCACATTGAGATACCACCTTAC